GCAACCAAACTACAGACCTTTGCCACATTGAGTGAACCTTATATTAGGTCAAGATGTTTGTGCTACTGAAAGGAAAACCTGCCATTTTTGCAATGCATAAATTACATGGTAGTAACTGAGGACATGGAGGCTGAAGTGCACAGCTGCATTCTTTCCATGGCTCTTATAATATACTCTACCCTGAGGATTTTGTGCAAGTACTCTGTAGGGAATGAAAGGCTAGAGGTCGTGTGAGCGTGTAATGTTCTGGGATGGTGCAAGAAATCAAATATTTCCCTAGAGACTTCTTTTTAATTAATCAAATGAAACATGTTTGCAATATCTTCAGTGCTGAATGTTTTTGATTTATTCAAAAAGCCACACAACATCTCTAGGTCACAGTACAGGCACAATAACTCATGCAGAGGCTTAGAAGCATGGGATGGTAGAAAACAAGTATAATGAGGCATCTTTGTCCCTCATGGAGAACTTCATTCACAACATAATATCAGTTCATTACTTCAGCTGTGATGGTGCAAGATTGGAGCATGATTTAAGCAGAAAAAACTCTGTTCCTCAGAAAATGAAGCAAGCAGAAAACAAAAACAAAAACAAAACCAAAAAAGGGCAGGAACACCAGAGCCTGCAAAAGAGAGATTTTGTAAGGCAAGTCTCTGTGGCTGGATCTATGCTACATACCATGACGCACAGGCACAGCGCCTGAGGCAATGGCAGGACATCACCTGTGCTATTTAATGACTTGCACAGGCTCTGGCACAGGTTTGGCCCCTGCCAGTGGGTATTTTCATGTGCCAGGAGCCGTTCTCCATGGGCAGTTTGGCTGCTGTTTCCATGTCTTTGGTGCAGGCAGACAAGCCGTACTGCCTGCGGAGGCTTCGGGTCCACCTGGCTCACTTTGTGTACAAGGATTGGAGTGGCTGTGTGAATGTCAAGCAGGACATTCACCTGTCTGACACGGCACCCCTTCAGGGGAGGCTCTTGCATGATTCTATACAATTCTTGTATCCTTTTAAGTGTGCCCTTGGTAAAGCTTCACTATCTACTCTTCTTGATTGATGAGGAATTCCCTTTGATCTGTTTGGTCCTGTTAATTCCCCTTTAGACTGGTAACAGGGATTGGAAAAACAGCATCCTGGAACCTTTGTTAATTTGTGCAGGGTCCCCTCTTCAATGAAAGTCCTGTCATTTGTGAACCACACGTCACCATGGACTGTACATGAATTTAAAATCAGATTATATAAATTGTGGTTTTAATTTTCACTCCCCTGCACTGTGCATCTGCAACCACACCACCAAAGATCTCTCCAGCCATCAAAGCTCTCCTAGGTTTGGATTCCATTTTGCAAATGCACATATGCGGCTGATACAATTGCTGCGATTGCCAGGCCCACTTTAGCAACAGCCATAAATTGTTATATAGCAGAAGACACTTGCTACCCATAAATAAAGCCATTCATGCTACAGTTTTGGGCATATTGTTCTAAAGCTGCTATGCAAAATCCTTTTGGGAGATACCTGTGACCAGCTTAAGTGTTTTGCCTGCTGCCAAGAGACTCTCTGTGGTTTTAAAATGTACTGGGGGAGTGTTGGTAAGCTTCTGTTACCAGGCAGCCTTAAGAGGAAGGCTACTACATTTTCAGTCATGTTAACCTCTTAGTTGCCCCCATAAGCTCCTGTCTAGATTAGAAACCTCCCTAATAGTTAATGTGTTTTTTTTTGTTTGTTTGTTTGTTTTGTTTTGTTTTGTTTTGTTTTGTTTTTTGTTTTTTTTTTTTGTTTTGTTTTGTTTTGTTTTGTTTTGTTTTGTTTTTGTTTTTGTTTTTGTTTTTTTTTCCCAGCAGCTTCTTTCTGGTGGTTTTGGCCCAGATTCTGACCATGTCCTTTATCAGAACTCAGTCAGCACTGTAAAGTTGCCATGTAGACTATTTGTCTCAGATCATCCTTATATGCTGTTTTTTTTTTTTTCTTTTTGAACCCTCTACTTATATAATTGCTTCTTCTCTTTATTTTTACACAGTGTAGTACATCTTGCCTTCATAGCGAGGTAGTTCCTCCTCTGCCTCTGATAAAGGAAGATCATTTACAACTCCGAATCCCACAGGGTGAAAGAAAAATCAAGCAAATATCTGAGTGTCTTCTTTTTTTGGAAGTGGAGGTTCATAGTGAGACTTTAGAATTTTTTCATTAGCTCACTGATATAAAGTTTTGACACTGGACTGGGTACCTAGTACTATATTGTCACTGTCCAAAAGGTCTGTTGCAAGTGTAATTTCTTCTCCTCCTAAACATGCTGCAGAGATACAAGAATTACCAGAAGGACCAGCTGTGCAATGATATTGTTTTGTGTCCAGACTTTCATCCAGAAGGGTCTGGCTTCTCATTTTCTTGAAGATCAGCCTACCAAAAATAATTAATCCTTTGGCCAGAGAGCATTTAAGGAGGAAACTGGAGGAGCTGGCAACTGAGAGATATTAATAAAATGCTGCAAGGACTGTATTTTCATCCAGTGAAAAATGCAAGACATTCTAAATGAAATACATCATCTTCAGATCCTTTTAATTAAGCTGTCAAATGCAGAAGGCATATTAAACTATAAAATTGGTAATACACCAAAAAAATTAAAAAAAAGATATAAAGGTTGATAATGCCTGACTTGTCTTGCAATGGACTGGGGAAGGCAGCAGGGAGCTGCCCCTCATCATTGTGCACACTGGACATCTCCCTGATGATACTGATCCTAGAAGTAGCTGGATGAGGTCCCAGAGTGGAAACTTGGCATTTGCCTAAAAGCTGGAGACAATGGAAGCTGTTCCTTCTGACACGGATGAGAAATTGGTCATATCTGTTGGCCCCAGTTCATAAGGGTGGACTAGTAGCTGGAAACCACTGACCAGGAAACAGGCTGTACTTGCCCTGAGGAGCGGGAAGATCTTTAAGGTTTTACGCACAGCAATGAATACTCTGTTGTTATTAACCTTTATCTACAAACATACCCAACATGCCATTTATGCCACCTTTTCCGTAAAAGAGAGACAATAAGAGGGAACATGATCTCCTCGTGCAGATCATTGCTATTAACAACAATATGTACAGGATAAAATAGAGGGACACATTGAGGAAATGTTTCTGTGACAAATGGGCTGATGAAAAACTAAACGGATGCTTAAGTGAGGTGCATACTGGGGGGCTGGAGCAGAAGTGAGCCACTGATATCCCAGGAGTGTGCTTAACAAATTAGTCTCTTAGATTACTTCCAGGCACAGGGCAAGTTATGGGGTTTTAACCTATGAAATCACTTCTGGCTTGGTTTTGGGGAGCTACTCACGCTATATAAGCAATTCCCTAAATTTAGACAGGTTAGTTTCGACACCACTCTGGTACTTAGAGCATTTCTCGCTTCCCATTGTGGAGCAAGTGGCCTTGTCCCAGCTCCACATCAGCGTGAGACCCAGGCCAGCATCACACAGCCCCAGTGCTGCAGCTGCCATGGGACACGAGCCAGGGTCCGTGCCCCAGAATGGAGTGAGGAGTGGTGAGCAACCTGGATAGTAGCCTAGTAGCTGGTACACCCCAGTAGCTCACTGTAACACAGCCAAATTCAGGATTTGTACGTCTGAGAGGTCTCCATGGGGGAGAGCTAGACTGGAACAGTGACCTTAGCAAACACTGATGGTTTGTCTTGTTAGCCCTCCAGGAAATGTTTATTTACCCAGGCTCTTCCTGAAGAGATGTGTTGCGTAGGATGTCCTCAGCTGAGAAATGGAGCATTGCAGCTTAACGGCTATTGTGCAACCTACATGTCTGAGATAGTATGTGCTCTTAAAAAGGAAGCAACAAAAGACTCCAACATCACACTTCTGTCTAACTAGTTCTACTGCAATTGTTGGATGTAACATGCATGATTGCCCTTGTAGAAGGAGTTTAAAGTCATATCTCTGATCAACTGATTTACATTGTCCCTTTCCCATACAGTCAGAGTTGCTTCCTCCTGTTGTAGCTAACCAGTTTGTTTCCCCCATTTTCTGTTCAGGGGTCCCACAAGAAAAAACAACACATTCATAAACTGGGGAAAATATGAATAGAGAAACCCAAATCCAAATCCAATGAGGCAGCAGTACCCCGAGAGCTGTGCAAGTGGTCTTCAGTGTAGGATCTGTTCCTTACAGGGGCTGGACTCACCTGGGACTCTCAGCTCCTGGCTGTCAACGAGTTGCTTTCATTCACTTTGGTGCTCCCTGCCTGGTTAGAGGAGTCACTGTCTGTTTTGGCAAGCTTTTGGAGATGGAGATCTTTGGCTGAACACTGGCTAGTTTAATGCCAGAGAAGGCCTTAGTGAGAGAATGGAGAGCACAGCGGGCAAGTGTGGGAGGCAGCTGTGGCAGGCAGCTGTGGCAGGCGAAGCCTCACCAACAGACAAAACCAGGGGAAAACCAGGGTGTGCCCGAGTGGTTTGGAGCTTCAGCTCCTAAACTGCAGCCCACAGTGATTAACTGGTGCCTCAGGCTCTAGACCCCTTAGCCTGTCTTGTCTGAGCTTGCCCCCTCAACCAATTAGAATGACTACAGTGCGCCCGCAACTAGGGTATAAATGGGCCACTGACTAAGAACTGGTGGGGGTGGCTTTTTGCAGACCAGTGGGCCTGTCATCTGCCCTTGGATGCACAGCGTTGGCCATAGTGCCTGGCCAACCAGCAGGAGGCGGCAGAGGGGCCATGAAGGCAGAGCTGCTGCAGCCAAACCCACCCGATGCATTTAGTCTGTGACTTCCTGTAGTGACCCCCATTTTCCACGGGTTGCTCCCTATGCCTTACTGGCACAAGATTTCTTATTAAAAAAAAATCATGCTGGCATGTGCTTTGAAGCAGATTACATCCTTCTTGTGTCTGCTCCCCAACAACGATTCTTTCTGCTTTCCAAAGACAGGTCTCACACACAGTACAGGTGCACAAGCACACGAGCAGGCTGGGAGGCAAGGGCAAACGGGGCACGAAAGACTCCTACCGTCCACCACGGGCTTGGGCTGCGAGCTCTTCAGCCGCAACGAGGGCCGGAAGCGGGTCCGGTCGTTGAAGCTCCAGCTCTTCTGGACTTTGGTTGGGCTGCCCTCAGTGGCAATGTCAGCGCTCGGTGACCGGCGATCTCCAACTGAAGACTGCCTGTTCTTTATACTTTGACCTCGTGGGCTGGCCATCCGCACTCGCTCTTTAAAACTTAGCTTTTGACTGTGAAGAAGAGAAACATATTTTATCTCACAGTTCCTTCACTTTGTTTCTGTTTCTATTGTATGATAATAAAGAATTTCTAAAAATTCTTAATAGTACGAATCTGTTTCTTACACACTTTTATTTTCAACGAACATATTTAATTTTGGAATGAAACTGATTTGATGTAACTATTTTTTTGGTAGAGGCATTATCAATGGCAGTCTGTCTTACAGTACAGAATAACCTTGTAAAGAAAATTAACAAATAGAAACAAATTTCACCCAATTATTATAGATTAACGTATAATTTTTTGTTTGTTTGTTTTACTCCTTAAATTTTAAATAGGTTTATTTCCATCTAGTCAGCTGAGCTCAGTGCATTTCTGGCCATCTCTTGAGATAAACAAGAACAAAATGTATTGTATTATTGCTGCATGCCATGTAGTAGTATTTTTTTTTTGTTTGTTTTTGGTTGGTTGGTTGGTTTGGTTGTTTTGAGCAGGCAAAAATACTGTTAGTATGTTCATGCTTTTTCAAGATAGCACTTCCAACATTTCATATGCATTGTTAGTGATCACTCATATCCCGAATTCCTTGTTACAGCGCTTACTTGGACAAGACACAACCAAAATTAACAAAACATCCAAGAAACAGCGTGATGACCAATTGATGGAAATGTGATGATACGCTGTGTGCTCACTGAAGTAGTTGCTGGAGATTAAGCTGGGAGCTGACTGCTTGCAGGTAGTATTGGGCAGGTGTTTTAGTACAGGTACAAGAGCCCAGCCAAGCTTATGGCTGTGGCTGCTGGATCGAAGGTGGCCCTGGGGTCTTATAGCTGGCCAACTGTAAGATGATATTTTTTCCCCTCCTGTGCGTATAACTTTCCCCTCCAGTCAGCTAAATGTGGGATATGTAGATTTTCTACTTCCCAGTGCCTGAATTAACTTTGTTCATGTTCAAACTTATCTGATGAACATCCTGTGGTCACCGTGACTACCTGCCTATGCTTTTTCATTATTTAACATTTTTGCCTTTGTCTTTTCCTGTAACGGAAGACACAAAGGGAAAACAGAAAGGCTCTCTGATACCAAGGTTTGAAAACCTCATTTCATCTACAAGGTTAAAATCTACCACCTGTAAAAGGGCCTGGTCAACCTCATCAGTGCTCCTGTTCTTGCAAGGGGAGAAACGATATGAGCAGTGCAGTAGCTGCTCATGGTATGATGTTACTGGGCCTTGCAGCCCTATTGCCCTGGCCTAGGCTTTGGCAGTGCTTTTAAAACACCTGTAGCAAAGACTGCCTGCTTGCAAATTATTGTTGTCTTGGAAGTTAAGACACTTTCTAGTGCTCTCAAAGTCTTGGCATTAACTTCAGCATGCCCCTAAGAGGCAGCTAATTAACTAGTGATAACATAGACTGTGTGGTTCTTAGATGTTTAACCTAATGAACTCTGAAAATACAGTGTTAATATGCAATTATATGAAATAGATAGTAGTTGTAAACTTCTGTGACTGTAAAATGTTGAGATAATCAGATATCTTTGTCCATGCATGGCATAGCATAGCATAGCATAGCATTTCATTCTGAATACAAACATCACCGAGAGCAGAAAGGATGCAATTTGTAGCAGGCAAAGCACATGCTGGGAAGCTTCTAAAGAGATAATTTTAAAGAGTACTAAAAATGGAGCACACCAACAGGAAGATTAGAAAAATGTATTTCTATATGGCATGGTGATTCACTTGAAAGAATACCTTTACTCTAATTTCTGAATGTAATCCCCTTCTTCCCTTGCCCAAAGTAAGCAATTGTTGAAAAAAGCACATTATGGTGCTGGAAATGTTATCTATTTCCATTGCAAAATGTTACCCAGACTGGCAATACTGTATGCTGTTGCATATGCAATACAAAAGATCCACAGTACCTACTGTTTGAAAGAGAAGCGAGTTCTAAAATTTAATTTTCAATACAAATTACATTTCAAGACTGAATTACATTTCATCTCAGGAATCTTTTGCATTGTAAAACTCAATGGAAATATTAGCTGTAAAATATTTATTAACTACATTATTGCATTGTCATACTATACAGCATGAGCAACAGAATCAAAATGGACTTCTTATTATAGAAATTATTCCTAGGCATGTGTCCCTTGTGCTTTTTTTAACTCCTCTTATGGCTCAAATTGTATTTGTTATTGAAGCATGAAATTAAATTACATTTTGTTTTTTATATATATTAGAGTAAAAAAGTTTCTGGACAGCTCTCTTCCTGTTGCACTAAATAAAATGAAAGGAAAATTGATAAAAGAGACATAAAAAATGATCAGTATAGACCATATTTTTTATAATCTCATTAACTCCAAAATAAACATGAAAATTAAAAAAAAATGAAAAAAAAGCACACATATTGCTCTGTCAATTAATCTGTATTAATGAAAGCAATGTCTGCCTTTAAATGATTTGTACACATGGTTATTTCATTTATAAAAGCTGAATGGTACACAATAACTACTTAACCTGAATATCTTTAGTTCTCCAAATCAAAGCAATGAGGCAATGGTGAAAGGAACAGTAGACACTTAATCTGTACTAGAGACATTTTTCAAAAGTGCAACACTGGGGATGAAAACATTACTTTAAAATGCAGACCTCATACTTAAAGCAATAAATGCTTTGTCACAATGGCAATGTAGTGGCATGCCAAAGGTCCATGCGGAGGATGCTGCACCGTGAAGAGAAACGCAGCCCCTGAAGGAAGCGTGGTTTGGAAAGTCTACTTTGCATCCTGAGAGTTTCTCCAAAGACACTGGTTATAGCAGTTCTTTGCTTCTTGGATCCCTGGTCCTATTTTGAGACTGGTGGAAAATGTTCCTGAAGTCACTGGGTGCTACTCAGCACAGGCATCAATTGTGTGGCTTGTAGCAGTGGAGAAATGACGCTTGGGAGAAGAAAGCTGCTGTGCTTGGGAACATGCTGACATGGGACCCTTCCATGTATGAGAAATAACAGATCATGAAGGAATAACTGAATCAGAGCATCTGGGGGGCATCCTGACCAGGCTTTTTCCCACAGCAAAAAGTTAAGGAACTGTAGCCTTATAGGCTATAATGTTCCTGGCTCTTGCTGTTTTGTTGCAATAGTGGCAGAGATGGCGCTAAAGATACAGAGTGCAGATAATTTCATGCCCTTTTAAGCATCTCTGGGCATTCTGCACTTGAATCAGTAGCCACTGAAGCCTTTAGGGTCCTCTACTCTGATTCAGTGCTGGTTGGATTATCATTGTCCAGTACCATGCTAAAAATCCTCCACTTCTTGCAGGACTTAGCCTCTTATATTTTTCTCTCTCACCTTTTCTCCTCATTTTTACATGATATCCAAAAGAAATCCCTTGAATAAACATAAACCTGTTAATGGCCACTGGAAATCCATATATCCCTGTAAGTACTCCCGAACTTTGAGAGTTGGTCAAAAAAGCAAAAAGCATGAGAAAGAAACTGAAAAATGGGTGTCTAAATGCTTTCTGAAATTACACAGGTTCTTGATTCAGACCTAAATGACAAAGATCTGAGGGAACCACAGCTGTCTTCAGTAATTTCTGCATTTACATGTGTGTCTGTCCAGCATTTCTTGTACCTTACATAACTTATCCCAGTTTGCTATATATACATATTTGCTTCCTATTATGATCTTCCTTGGCAATGGTGATCTCTTTGGACCTGTTGCTCCTCTGTTCTTGCAGGCTGCAAGTTGTGGAATATATTCATATCAATAAGAGTGCTTTGAAGCATCTTTTAAGGGAGATGAGGTACAACTGGCACCCGTGGGTAGCAAGCAAGTGAAATTTCTCTATGTGTTTGCCTTCTGGGAGGTCAGCTGTAGAACTTCTCCATTCATTCCTCCTGTCAGTACATGCATAAGCCATCCACTTCCCTGGGACAGCAAAGGACTTTCTAGTTCTAATTTCTTCTGTTTTAAATTCTGTCTTTTCCACCTTTGATTTATGAAGGAGAAGGTGTTTAGGGACACTAGAGGTCACTGTAGCTTCACTGCAGAGGGAATGACTTCTCTGCTGGACCAAATGACTAGACTTGATCAAGATTTTGTTTTAATTGATAAATGCCTACAAACCTTCGCTTTTTTCCCCCTGTACTCACAGCTCTGTCCGTCTTCCATGGATCATCTTACTCTACTTTTTTGTTAATTAAGCATTTCTTTGCCTCTCAGTCCCACTCCGCTATTTCCCTGCCTACCTTCCTGCATTTCTGGTCAAGTTTATCTTCTGCCCTGCTACCACCTCAGACCTGCAGCACTACTGCTTGCTACTAGTCACAATTTATGATTTGTTTTTCAGCGTTTCATACTGAACCAGCTGGTGGAAGTGGGGATAGGAAGAAATTAAAATGAATCAGAAGTAACTGGAAGGCCTGAGAGTGAGAGAACATGCTTTGGATCTTGAGTTGACAGAGAAACTAAAACTGCCAAAAATCACCACCCATGGCAAACAACAGCAAGCAATTTTCAGCAGTTAAATTCCAATAAGTACAGATGTCTGTAGGCTCTGTAAGAATCAACAACTTTACTAAAATTAAGCTAAGCTGAACAAATGCAATGGATAGTACAGTGAGGACTGAAGTTCAAACATTCAAGACTTCTCCACCAGTCTCATGCTAGGACCATGAACCTAAGAAATGCAGTGTTATATCTCATACCTTCAATAAATAATAAGAATTTCAGAGACACAATGTCCTAAAGTTCACTCATCAAATAATAAAAAAAAAAAATCAATTCAGGGGTTTTGTGTATTTTTCCTTTTACAAAACAGATTCCAGAGGAAGATAAACTATTTTAATCTCCGCTTTCTATCATCAGTTTGTACTTGTATTGTCTTTTAAATTATTTTTTAAAAAGAAGCAAAAAATTGTAATAAGCTTCAGTTATAAACCAAGGGTTTCTTCCCATAAGATCCATTCATCTAGGAATTACCATTTTTGGTAAGAGACACAATTTTCACAGAATTCAGCTGAAGCAGATGGTTGATTTCACATGCATTCCTCTACCTTCCAGTACGGGATGCAGGCACAGCTTCCACGGACTGTGTCCAAGGGGATTCTCAACAAGCATTGCACGTTTTGACTGTTGGTATTGCCTAATGTGTTATAGCTCAATATTCCCCACCAATGATTAGATGAAGAACTCAGCTGCCATGGTTATAAAAATCTTCTTGGACTTAGGGAAATGTCTTTACCCAAATATTTAACCCTGGGTTTTGATCTCCACAGGGTAATGCATTCCAAAAGCCCAAGTCTCTGGCAGAGAAGGGGAACCAGGCTTCGGCAAACCACGGCGTGCTGCACACTGCAATTGTCTGACTGGATGAGTTTCAAAGAACTGGTACTATTGCCATTGTATTAACGTCATTGCAGGCAACAAGCAATAAGGGAATCACAAGCACTTAGAAATAAATAAATAAAGAAAACCTCCTTTGGAGAAGTAAGGCAGTTTAAAGCACTAAGGAGGGGAGGTAAATGAATCATGCACCTGATGTTAGTTGGCATTCTCAAACATCATGTGAATAGGCAGGATGCTGAATACCTATGTTTCCGAGGGGTGTACATCCTGAAGAGCTTCTGTTTATTACTACAAAGCTTACTAGGAGTGAGGGGAGATAGAGGACCGTGTTACTAAGCATTCCACTACTAGGTAAGGGGTTAGGCTTTCCACTTCAAGTCAGATTCTGTGCCACTGACAATTTCTTTTTCATATGGTGGATGCAGAGAGTTTAAATTAGATCTATTTTCAGAAACAGATATGATATAGGAAAATTCCAGAGTGCAATTTACTTGTTTCCCTCAGAGCAGGGATGAGTTTTTCCTCCAAGCTCCTATACTGGCAAAACTCCTCCTTATTGCACCAGAGAGAGTTGTCTGAATAGGGAGTTTATATTCAGGCTCACTAGTTACAACACTAGATGAGTGACATTCATTCTTTTCAGACACACACAACGCTTAACACTGCTTGTGCTCTCAGGATGTTGCAAGATTCATCAGTCTTGATCTATTTTCCTGCACAGGAAGAATTTCAGCCACATTGTATAACTGAACAGAAACAAAGATTATTTGCATTCAGTGTGTGCATCTGCAGATATGGGGAATTCAACATACAGGCTTTTTAAATGACTTGCAGAACCCTAGAGCTGATTGATAGAAATAATGTCAACTGTTGTCTACCATTACTTTTGATAAATGATTAATTAGAATACTTGTGTATAATATTTTGAGAAATACAACATATATATTTTTCTTAGAATCAGTATAATCACAGCTCTCTCAACTCAAATGCACAGCAACATTTAGTTACCTAATAAAAGACTGTAGGTCTATACATGACAAAATGCAAGAATTAATTTCTGTAAATGTAAAAATCATTTTTGTAGGAAAGAAAACAATAAACTTTTACCTAAAGTAATAAAAGTTTTTCTCCACTGGTATTAGAATGGAGTACAGAGCACAGAGCATATTCAGAAAACAATCCAATGCACTACTTGTGCAAACATCTTCATTTAGAACAAGAAGCAGCTTACTTAGTTCACATAGCATCCCATGCAAGTCAGTCAGCATTGCAGTAAGAAAGAAGTTAAACAGTCGAGGACAGTTATGTTGAAGTACATTGCAGCAGTTTGCATTTACATTTTTACCACAGAAGACCACATACACCACATGTATTTGAAATGATACAAACATACAGCAATATATCAGCGTAGGAATGATAAACAGCCACCGACAAAACACACCTTTTTCAAAAAGCACTGAGTGGTCTGTAGGGTTTTTGCTGTAGACCAGGATCTCAGGAGTTAACTAGCTTATTTTTATACCTACACAAATTTACATCAGTGCACATGTTTCTGAAGAGACAAACATCTTCCATTCAGTGAAAAAAATCTGGCTAAATCATTGGCTACTTTTAAAAGCACAACAGTGGAGCATGTAATATAGTTTTGACAGCTGGTTTTTTTATTTTTTTTTTTTTTTTTTATCTAGGTAGGTTCTACTTATTGCAAGTAAATTTGTTTCTTTAGATGCTTGCAGGTAGAACTGGGAATAATGTCTACCCTCTACACATACTCATTTAGTGCCAACTTCAGCCTCACTTTTAAATTTTTTCAGTGTTGCTGTTGAAGGAGTAGGAAGCATACTTAGCAAATTGAAGAAGTTTTGATCAGGCTGTAATAATTTAGTTTGATCAATATGTTGTGCAAGCCTATGGGAGTAATGTATATGAAAAGTCATGGAATTAACAGAGCAGGTGAAGTGCTCTTGAGGGACAACAGAGAGCAAATCCAGTCCCCTCAAGTTAGTGTGACACTAATAGCAGTTATATGTACGTCAGGGAAAAGGATGGAGCTAGGCACCAGAGGAGCAATCTGGAAAGTGGAACAGAACATGGGTAACTGATGTGAAGATTTTCCACCCCTGACTAAATAACCCAGAAGCATTTGTGAACCACAGTACAACTTTTTTTTTCTTTTCATCCTTTTCTAATGAGAGGTAAATATCACTATTCTGTGATTGCACTGACACTGCAGTGCTGGCTGCTGAGTGTCTGGACTTCTATCTCTAGTGAGTTTTGGAGGTAGTGCAATTTCACTTCTAGCCACTGAATCCTCTCCTGTCCCTAAGGGTTTGAGCTACAATTACAGCAGTGAGCAGCATTTCCTCTTGCTGCCTTAGGACAGTGCATCTCCAGGGATTTATTTACCCATCAAAGATAGCCCTGCCACGGCCTGCCTCTGTGTGCTGCAAGCTGGCATCCATAAGTAGGCTGGGTAGAAACCCCACCTGCCCTCCCAGCCAGCGGTGGTGGGGCTCATCTAAGGAGAGATGCCAGGCTGCCTTCTCCACCCAAACCATGCAGCCAGGAGGAGGTGAGCCACTGCAGTGGTGCTTGCCTCCAACCTGCTGTGCCCCAAAATGCTCCTTGGGAGAGGATGGTAGGAAAAGGTTAGGAAATGTGCAGACATGGCACTGAAAAAGCCTTAAGGATACTCCTGCAGGGAAGCACAGACCCTTGTTGAGGTGACATCCAACCAGACCCATCAGGGGGTCCCATGAGATAGTGGGCTGGTGGGCTTGTTCAGAAAGCCAAATGTCTGTAACTTCTACTGTGATTCCTGGAAACCACGAGCACTGATTTTATGGCAGAAACTGGGGGCCACATCCTCGACCAGGAGCTGTCTGGTGAGGCTGCTTCACTCTCTAATCTGACACTGTTCAAAATGAGCTCCCTCTCAAAGGGAAAACATGTGGCTAGAAAAGTAAAAAGCTGCCTATTTTTTCCATACAAAAACCGAGACAAAGAAGCAAATTTTATCAGCATTAGTGTATCAATATGAGTTTTTAAAAAATGCAGTCTATGATTATTATCAGTTAACAATTACAGTTCATTGAACCTACTGTACAAAGCCTGAGACATCTAAAAGCTATTAGGAAACAGCGATTTCACAGATAAAAGAAATAAAAGAAATTACAAACCTGCTAGAAGCTTCCCCTTGTTCTTTTCTTCAGGTCAGGGAGTGGGAGGGAAAAACATACTTGTTATGCAGATAGTAATCACATTACTTAGTTACAGATGATGTTAGATATATGATAAACGTAAATGGATATGTTAATTAGAGTACAACACACACATTACATTGCAACCACAAGAAAATTAAAGCAAGACTTGTAACTACGACGCCTCTGAAAATAAACTTTTAGTTGTTTTAACACATGCATGACATGCTTAGTACATACCACTGCAGTCTGAGTTGGCAAAGCACTTAGGCAAAATGCATTGCTGACACATATATAACAGAAAGCTGTAGGCTTTTAGTACATAAAGTTACCTCTGGTAAATAAAAAGGTTTAATTTTAGGGTAGCACAGCAATACACATTTAAAATAACAAGTAGATTCACTTTTGAGGGAAAGTCATATTTTAGAATATTTTAGTTGGGATAGAGCTTCATAATTTATTTAATTTTATATCCATCCATTTATACCAATGTTGCCTTCAACCTGCTTGTAAATGTCAAAAATCAATATTCCATGTAACTTTCAATCTAAAAGCTCCTTTTAGTTTGGAGCATTTTGGAATTACAGTTATGGTAATGGATTACATATAACTCTGTTCTTGTCAACTCTTTGAAATGCAAAGATCAGCTTTGGGTACCCAGCCAAACCTCTTTTTGGCTGAGCTTTTTGGCACACAATTACCTTTTTACTGTCATGTGAATGTTCATCACCCAGCTTTGAGAGAAACCACTAATTCTCTTGCACTGTCTGCAATAACAGCAGTTAGGATGCTTATCAGAGCTCTCCCTTATGGGTCTTAGCACTTTCCTTCTTTCATCTTTATCAAGTATCTTTTACTTCCTCATTTATGCCCCATATTGAATCAGTCAACTCACTACCTTCTGGTAAGTCTTGTACTGAATTATTGAAGAGTCTTGGGCTGCCAGTGCTCTCTGAATTCTCACCCAAACTAGGACATCAAATATTTCCTGTCTGCCAAACTGTGACACCAAGTTTTTTTTGTCATCGTCCACCGACTCTGTGTATAATAGAGGATATAACTTGCCCTGAGGAAATACTGAATATATCAGAAGTTATGAAGAAAAGGACCAAATTCCCTATTCCATTCACCTGCAGAATACCACAAGGCTCTCCTCCTGTGGAAAGGTAGATCTGCAGCTCTAGCCTTATACAGAGGCACAGACATAAAACCAGCATTAAGTCAAGGAACAAGCTCTGCATTAAACTTTATACTTTCTTCCCGAGAGAGAATTAGGAACTGGGTGAAACATTATCCTTGATATATGAATGAGGTTTTGTGAAAATGTTTCTAATGCCTGTGCTCAGTGATACTTCTTAGACAAATGGCAACGAGTTGTATTTCTCCCACTGTTCTATGCTCCTAGATAATATAGATCTGATTTGTTAGTTGAAATTCTTAATGACAGGACTTAAGAAGACAAAACAAGACGAAAGAGACAAATAGTTATTTTCTATAAGCTTGAACAGACATCGAGAACAGCACCAGCTGCCATATTTGTACCTACTTTGTAGGGCTGCAGGTATGCAACGCCTTCAAATGAGGCTTCCAGGTAGCAATGGAAACCGATTTCTCATCAGCCGCATAACTACGCCATACACACTACGTGCAGGATATATGGTAAAAAAGAAAAAACAAGGCAAGAGGGAGCAGGGGATGAAACAAAAAATTGAAAAGCAGATTAGTAACCAATACAAGTCATGGCTTTCTTTCATCATTCATAGCACTGATACATGCCTGAGGGGAGGAAGAATACTTTCATAATATCGCCAGGTGGCTGTCAGGTTTGTTCGGCTGGTGTCGGTAGAATAAAGCTGCCAAGAAGCCTGGTATGGGGAAACAATAGAAAAGCACAAAGGAACCAAGAACATGAAGTGACAATGCCACCGCATTGATTATGGAGAGAGAGGATTTTGCTCAGATTGGGATGTACTCTATTAGGTTGATTGAGGAAACACCAGGAAAAAAAGCTACAAAAACTTTTGTTAATCACTGTATACTTTAAATGGTAAAGTAAGAGTTCCTGGCTTCCCGGAAGTGCCAGAAGATATCCAGCACATCAAGGTGCTCAAAAAAGCATCACAGAGATTTATTTGTGACAAGTCCACAGGAAACATTGACATAAACTTGCAGTCTCGGGTAGAGAAAGTGTCATCATATATTTTGCAAATTACAATGAAAACCAGAAAAAAAGCATTTAGAAGAAAAGAGAAGTAATCTCTGTGGTTTAAAACACTGCTAAATGTTTAGAAACACAAAACACATAATTTCAAAGGTGAGTGACCAAAGCATAGCATTGAAAATGTATTCACTGTTAAGATTTGTAACTGTATGTAGGTAGTAAGACAGAACCTTGATGCTACAAACTGGAACAGCTTCCCTGATGTCAGTGTAACTACAGTAAATTGTACTAGTTGAGTATCTGCACTTCCTATATGTTGTAAACCATTAAATGTCATCCAGGTATTCTTGTAAGGAGTGTAATACCCTGTGTTTTGCTATTGCATATCTCCCAGAAATACACTTTATCTTCATCTACAGATGGAGAACCTGTCACTTTGTAAGTTGTTCCGTTGGTTGATTATTCTAATTTTATAAAACCTCTGCACTATTTTTAAATTGAAACTCTTTGGGTTTGGTTTATAGCCAGAGATATTTATGTTTCTTTCTGCTACACCAAATAGTCCTGCAGTTTCCAGTACTTCCTCTCTGGACTTTTATGTTCAAGTAATATTTACACTGAATATTTATTATAAGCTAAAGAAACTGAGAAAAGTATGTTTATATGAAACATTTCAGTTTTCTATAGCAATACTTTAGCTATCTTTAAGCCAGGCAAATTCTTTAGCCAACAGTATATCTATGGCAACAGAGGAGTTAGCACAGACTAATTCTACAGAGTCACTGATTAGAAAATAGACATTATCCAGATAAGCTAGAGTCTATTGATTTCCATGATAGATCATTATCAATATCCACAACAGACAATTTAAGAAAGCCTGGGCACTGTTACAGTAGAAAATGATATGCCATTCAGACACATCCTGCATTTATGAACCTGAAATTTTCTCCAGTCCTGAACTAATTTTTTTTTCCAAAATTTTATTTGCTTTCTCCTGTTTTCCAGTCTCATTTACAAACTGCAGATGCTGAGCTGATATATAGCATGTTACTACCAGCATCACCACACACTGTGGTAATATCAGCCTTCTACTTGTCACCTTTTTGGTTATGTACATAAGGACTGTAACAACCCATCTGGAGTAACATATTCGGAACTTATATGAAGCTCTTGACCCTTTTTTTTTTCCTCTACTCTTTCTCCTCTCTGTTTCTCTTTCTTCACCAGATCCTTTCCAGAGTCAATAATACCAGGATAGAGAACTTTCTTAATAGTCTGAATTCATTGTTGCTAGATCAAGTTTTGTACTTGAATTAAGATATCTGGTCAGAATCATTCCACTCTGTAAAGTCACTCAGAGCACGCTCTGTCATTCCTGTGTGCCTGCTCCTGTCTTTCCTGTTCTGCCAGGCCTTGTGCCGTTGCCAAATCTCTCCATCAGTAATTTTATATAATTTTCCAGATCACTGAAAATTGCTGAACATGAAAATAAACATGTAAATGGTGAACAGCCTTCATTATGGGATCCCACCACAAATGTCTTCTATTCATAATGATTTTCCTCATTGAGAGTTACTTTCTGAAATCAATCAGATAGCTACTTTTAATCTATTTAGCATTCTCTCCTAACTAATATTTTTCTTGAACTGTCATACAGTAATAAGAAGAGGTGCATCCAAATCCTAAATCTATTTTGTGTTTCCTCTTTAAGAATGCTTCAAAGACAGCCTGGCGTCTATCCTGAATTTATTGTGGAATTCTAGTATATTCATGCTCAGCTTCTTTATTTGGGTTTATTACGTCAAAATGAAAACAAAACAAAATGAAACAGCATAAATGGCACACATTTGGGATCCCAAGAAAATAAACTAGGAAGCTAGAAGATTATTTCCCTCTTTTTTTTTTTTCTGCATTGAGTAGAGTAAAGCTTGTTTCAAAATCATTCTTTGGAGGATTTTCTCATTTCTAACTAGGACTGTAAGTTAAGGGAAAACCTAATGCAAAAAACCTAATGCTTTTTAACAAATATTATAGAATTTCAGAATGGTTTGGGTTGGAAGAGACCTTAAAGATCGTCTCATTGCAACCCCCCTGGCATGTGCAGGGACATCTTCCACTAAATCAGGTTGCTCAAAGCCCCATCCAACTTAGCCTCATCATGCCACTTTTGCTTAAAAAAAATCTTTCTCAGTTGTTGATCTGCATCATCATGTCAATACTGGAGCTCAAGCCACTTCAGACAATTTCAGACATTTCAGAATTCTAGTGCCTACATCTCTATCTTTTGAATTAACTAATAGTGAAGGCAATTCTCTGAGCAGGACACATTTCATTTTCACCAAGTATATCAATGACTGAAGCACTCTGAAGCCTGTAGTAGATGAAAAGTAGCTTAATATAGGCAAGAGTGCTGTGCTGTCAGTTGGGTTGTCTAGGGAGCAATTCTATTTTTTCCACTTAATTCACTAACTGCAGGCATGCAATTGATATCCTTGACTTGGTTTCTTTAGCATGAATTTCTTTAGCAAGAAATCAAAAGCTATGCGTAGACGTGCTATATACATGATCCTGGCAATGCACAGCAATCAGTGAACAAACTTATTCTGTGAAACTCACCAATCTGCTAAACATTATTTCCACAAAACTTTCCAAACTGGAGTAATAAAACTTGTTCCAATAAATCAGCTTCTATTATCTTTTCAGTGATTTTGTATTTACCTGAATTAGACTGGCAGCTGGATTCCTTCTTTTCTCAAAGTGTTTCTGACGATGCTGTTCCTGCACTTTTAATGCAAATCCTGAGCCAAGGATGCCCTGCAATACAATATGCCATTTATCACAATGTAGGTATTTTTTTCAGCAAATATACATAACCAACTACAAATGTTTTGTGAAGATGTCAAGCCACATGATTTCTTCAGGTAACACATTTATGACAGTATATGACAGTATGAGGCTTAAAAACAGAGCCCCTTTTGTGGTGAAGCAGGAGACTCCTTATTTAAGGGATAACATCTGTGACACTACTGTTTTGCCAATGACCAGGCCCAACAAAAATGATACCACCACCAGCAGGAAGATGAACCAATACACAGGCTGTATTGTATACGAGAAAGACATTCCATGAATGATTGCTGGAGGTACAAACAGATCAATCAGCTGGTACATAATCGACACCATCCCCAACAATCCCACAAAAGATGTGACTTGGCCCACAACAGGTGGTATAAACAGTGAGCCAAGGTTGCCCATAGTTGGTATGGGAAACAGCCAAACCAGTAAGTTAAAGACATAAGAGAAAGGTGCCCACATGGCGAGTCTCACCCATTCTGTCCGCGTTTACAAAGGCCTAAACAGACCAGGGCCCAGCTCCAGGGAGAGTCAGGAGGTCTGCCCTGAACCAGGAAGCTCTGGGGAGAGCACTCCACAGACAGACACTCCTGACTCCCTGCAAGTGGTCCCAGCTTTTATCCCCAAGCAGACACCTGACCTTTGTCAACTCACTGCGGGACCCCTGGGGCTCATTTCCCTTCTGGCTCTCCCTGCAGGGCCGGCCGCACCCTGGGGGGAAGCTATAAGGCAAACTCACCACCTCTGTATGAAGGGCTGTGGGAATCACCCGTATGTCAACCTTAATGCGGGGGCTCGGGGTTCAAACCCCAGCATTTCACACTACCAATGACCACTCGTCCTAACCATTGCTTGGGTTTGTGCTACACTAAGTTCCTGCAATGCTAAAAGCAATGGGGTTATATATAGATATATACTATCAAGCAGGAACACTCAGAGGAACTTAAGCCAGGAATGATGAAATGATCAGCTGCCAGATATGCCATGTATATATGGACCTTCAAGTCCATATCTGCAGTACTTATGATAAGTTGATTTTAGAAAAGTTAGAAAACACCTTGCTTAACAGATTAAGAGCTTTTCTTCTCAAGTCTTTACCATCTAAATAATCCACATTGTACATTCTATAGGCTATGAAAAAAAAAACTGATGATGAAACCTCTCCCCTTTTAGCCTTTTTATCTTTGAATAAATAAGATAAATTTGACTGGTGCTGAACAGACCCAAAGACTGAGAATGCTGCCCTCCTTGGCTTGCAAGGAGTGTAATATTTCTGCTGGACTTGTCTGCATTATAGGAAAGAATATTTCCACTTGATTCTCAGTCAGGATAAAATAACACTAGAAATGCACAAGATCCACATGTACCTTATTTCACAGACAGACTCAACACAGAAGTGTTTATGAAGAAAATGAGTATCTGTACATAGATATGACACAACGAACAAAAGTTCTGGCATCTGTAATACATAAGGTTATTCATCTTTTACATGTACATTGTAGTCCTGCTAAGACTAACTTTCTTGTTGGTGGTGACTAGGTGACAATGGGAAATAATTACAGTAGCTGCCATTAAATGCCAAAGATTCAAAACCAGGTAATATATTGTAATTATAATGCATTATAATATGCCAGAGATACTGAATTACTCGCTGTACTTAGGGTAAAAAATAAGTGCAGTAGATGAGTCAATGCTGTTGGCAAATGCTGACTTTTAATCTTGGTTTTTTTATACGGTTGAAAACAAAATTATTATTATTACAACATATATGTTTTATAGTGATCTATATATAATAAATCTGAGTATTAAAATATTGATATTCTGTATATATGGCACTGGATACAATACCACAAAATACAAATGTCACTTCTGATTTCATGCTTACTCAATACTTACTTAAAACTGAAAGGGAATTCGCTCACAAAAAAAGAATAGTTATTTCTGAAGCTACACTATATTTTAGTCATTAGATGATTCCCATTTCCATTAACATCTCTTGAGCATTGATAAAAGCAACATAAATAAACCGTGATGTTTATTTACAATCATTCACAGAAAATGAGAGTTGAATTTTTACATTCAATGACATTAACTTTTGGTTGATTTAATGCCTTCTGCTACTCTCTGTTAGTAGCCGGAACATGGTCATACAAGACAATCTACTAGAAATATCTTGCTTTTTAAAAAATAGAATCTAATTCAGAAAAACGTATCAGTTGATGTAAAAAAAAAAAAAAGAAAAAGAAAGCAGTGATATATAAGCCACAATTCATAACAAAAGAAAGAAATTTCGACCTTACATAATAGGCTACCCAATTTAGAAATATTTTCCAGTTTTGTCCATGCCAAACAAACTCCCCAAAACTCAAGAAATGACACTAAACTTTTAATTTGGATTTTGGGTGGCAGTTCACTAGTGCTGCCACAGAGCAAAAAGCCTGAAACTGTTTTTCATGATGTAGAGAGTTTCTCTGAACTTTTTGTATCATAACAGCGGTGGGAGCTATAGAAGTTTCTATTACATCTTTACGAATTTTATATGCATACTCACAGCAGGTAGTGCAAAGAAAGAAATGCCAAGTAGAGCAAATCCTGCAGAAAGCAACCTTCCAAGCCAAGTAAGAGGGGTTTTGTCTCCATAGCCAATGGTTGTCAATGTGATCTAAAAAGAAATGAATGAACAACAGGGTTTACCAGAATTCACTGAGAGGTTAGTTGCAGTTTATTTACATTGCATGAGACAGCATTTCTACTAAATAATCCAAGACACATGAAATATATTGTTGTTTCTAAAAGAAAAACAAATATAAATCAATTAACATGAGTACATTTTTCTACAAAAACTTAATGCTGTTTATGACTGAATAAAACCGAGATAAATAATAAATGTGAGAAAAATACTTAAATAAGCAATAAATAAGTTTAAAATTTAAAAAAAACAGAAGGTCTGGGATCTCAAAGTTGAGCTAAATGATGGGAAATCATGTAAGTTGGGCAGAAACTGTGTTCTTTCCATGAATGTAAAGGTGTTTCAACTATTTTCTGCAGGAAAATATAACTGCATATATTTGCACAACTACACAAATATAAATTACAGAGATTATATCAGAAAAATATAGCAGGGGGGAAGTTGAAGCTCACATATGATATAAAGTCACAGGAATAGCAAGAAGCAGCTGTATTTTGACTAGATGACCTTGACAGTTCCCTTCCAACCCAGTTCATTCTATGATTCTATGATTCTATTTTCTACAAGTCCATCAATACAATTTGAAGTGGATTATCTTCTGAAACACAACACTAATCAAAAACACAACACTAATCAAAAGCTGGAAGGAACTTTAAGACGTTCCTGGTCCTTTCCTCTTCCTTATGACAGGCTCATAATACTATACACCTATATCACTCCTGACAGGAAGGTCTAAGGATTACTGCACAGCAACAGATGCAGAGGTACCTCAGGCTGTTGGACAATGTTGGACAGTTGGACAATGGACAATGCAGAGACTCAGAATACAGATGTTTCAAAAGCTGTGCTGTGGAGGCCAGCACCCCTGCCCTGTAGCGGCAGTGCAGATGATAGCAGAGTTTGGTACACATGGGAGGGCTCTTCACATGCTGCTCGTTGACTGCAGGACACATAGAAATACAGCACATATGCAAATGCCACTGGGATAATGGTGTGTGGTTGTGCTTTACTGGCAAAAGATTATGGCTTCATGTCTGTGTGTGGCTGAGGGTCTGGACTCATGGAAATGTCCTTCAGGCTACTCCTGACCTGGGAAGCATGGCAGTGCCAAACTTGGGGACCGGACTGGCGAGATAAAAGTCATGTTTCTGCACTTCCCTCTTGGATAGTTTGGACCCACCCTGCTGCCTGGTACAGGTATCTGGAGGAGGTGTGGGCAGAGCAGAGGACTTCCAAAGGCTGGGTGGGAGGCTGTGAGGCGTGTGCTCAGCCAAGGGCACATGATATTAATGGACAAATATAGACAACAGTAGGCTGAATGCCAAGGACTCTAGGGCCTGTTATTAGTGGAGAACACGTGCATGGAGGATTATTTTACATCGTGTACCAAATGTGGGCAAGTTTGAACTTAGCAAATATCCTTGCAGGAGTGAATTCTTCAGAAAAATGCCTTCTAGAGACATTATTTAGCTTCCAGCTTCCTCAAAGTTCATTTCTATGCAAGACGGCCACAGCAATTCTATTTAATGCCAGGGTCATCACGGGACAAAAGAAGGAAAGTCTTTTGGAAGTAATTAGATTTCAACTATTTAGGGCTCTGTAGATAGTAAACAGTGCTTTTAATTGCTTCCATTGTTGGGAACAAGTTGCGGGTGTAATTTACCCTGAGAAACCCATGGTGACTAAAAGACAGTGAGCTGAATTAAAGCTGCAGCTGAAATTTCAAGTGGATATCAAGTCTCAAGTTTTGTAACACTAGCTTGGTCAAAGACATACCACCTTGTGTGCTTGTCAGGTCTTGCTCTCCTTCCTTGCTCCTCTTCACTTTCCTGCCCCATCCTCTCTTTCTGGCTTTTGCTGGACTCTTTGGAGAGCCAGTGCAACCCAGGAAGGTAGAGAGAATTATCCACATTTCTGTGTGGTTTGTTTCTGCTGTTTCAGTGAGTTGTGTTAGCTCATTGAGGAGCCTAACAATTTCCAAAGCCTTCACAAGGCAGTGTGTGGATGAGATTGAGTGATAAAGAGGAAAGGATTCATAGAATCACAGAACGGCTTAAGTTGGAAGGGATCTTAAAGATCATCTAGTTCCAACTCCCCTGCCATGAGCAAGAACACGTCCCAGGAGAGCAGGTTACACAAGGCCTCATCCAACGTAGTCTTGAACACATCCAGTGATGGAGCAGCCACAACTTCCTTGGTAACCTGTTGCAGTGTTTCACCACCCTCATAGTGAGGAACTTCCTTACATCTAATCTAAATCTAATGCAGCTCCCTCTTTTCTGGCAGCTCTTGGCCTGGCAGAGAGGCTTGATTTGGTTTTCCTTGGCTTATTGAAGAAGGTATTCCCAGCTCTTCTCATCAGATGGCAACTGCCGAACAGTTTGAGGCTATTAAGACTCTGAGAGCAGCGAAGCACTTGAACAAATGAATCCCTGAATAGAAGTTCCTCAAAATTTCTTTCCAGGCCAGTCATTGCAAAGCAGTTTGAAGCCCTGGAACAAGCCCTGTTTCTTGGCTTCTCTCCAGCTCCCTATCTCTGCCAGACGCTGGAAAGTACAGAGATATCTCCTGCCTGGGCTGACAAGAAGGAAATAGTACTCAGTGTCATCTGCATATTAATGATATTGCCACTGAACTGTCTTACGAAGAAGCCAAAGATAAACTTGAACCTTTGGGATCTGACATCTGGGAGCAATCCAAAACCAGGAGCAGTCACACAAACTGTATCTCTGGAATTTCTCCAAAGAAAATAACAAGACCATATTAAATCCTTTCCTCTCATTCTTTTAGGTCCTGAGGACTTAATGGTATCAGTCTATAATTAGGAATATCGGTGGCTTCTTGCTCACTTTGAGCTGTTTTATCTCAGTATGGTCTTTACATGTGCATATAGGTGTCAGCACCATGAAGGACCTTCTTACTCAAGGCTGAACAAATGGGTTTGATCTTCATATTATGTTCCTCTCATCACAGAAGTAAGAAAATATTTTTCCAAACAGCTTCAGGGTCAAGTTCAGGAATGATCCTCTGCATCTTTGTTAGTGCTGTAGGAGAATGACTAAACCACTGGCCAGGCCTTGACTGGAATAATCTTGAAGTTAAAAAACCAGAACAGGGTGTGGAGAACTACTGGACATGAGACCATGACAACATGAGAAATTCCCAGAAGTCATTGATAATAATATAAGAAGCAGACTGAGATTACAGCTAGCACTGTGAGTGAAGGCTAGATCCCATGGGAGCTTAAGGAATAAGTGATCAAGGTTCAAAGGTGACTGGAGGAAGTTATTTGGGACCTTTTGGGGATTATAGTCTTGCAAGGACAACAGCACCTATGTGACAGCATCAGCAGTGCCATATAAGGCCAAGACTGAGTACGTAACAGAACTACAAAATCTGGAGCTAACCTGTGAAGGTAATTAGGGACAGGTTGTTTATTTGAGCGGAGACTTGGAAAGTGAAAGCAAAATGGTGAAAACGAGGATCAAGATTCAGTAAAAGAAATAACAAGGTGTGCAAATCATGTCTTCCTGGGGATACCTGCTGAGCAGCCCTGCGCCTGATCACCACAGCCTAAACTAGGACAATAAACCAAACCTTTTAGAGTTTATTTGTATAGGATTCTGTCCACCCAACTTGAAAAATAAAATGCTTAGGTTTTAGCATTATCTGGTCACTGCAACATGGACAATGGAAAGAGAGATTCCTCCAGTAATTAACTCCTTCTGTCCTAAAGTATAGGACTTGGGTTTGCCTGAAAACAAATGTCTAGTGCCATCTGAGATGCTCTTGGGCATCTGAACAAGGACCACTCACAGGAGAGGCAGCAGACTCATCAACAGATCTTGCATGGCACTGTATGCCTGTGTTCAAGCCAGTGAATCACACTCCTACATGACTAAATGAGGTAGATGAGTCCTGTCTTTTGTACCAGATGCAAAGCACTAGTGTCTGGACAGACCAGTCAAAGCAGTCAGTGTCACCTGGTTAGACTCAAAACTCACAATGATGATGGAACTTCTGCTATATCTCGCTGCTGGAGCTAGTAAATATACCACTAATAAGTGAGGTAATATAATAATGAATATGATTATATAACCTAGGTGCCTTCAATTAGATGAGACAGGACCCAGGAGGCTCTCTTCTATCCTAATATTTCTTTCTGATGTCATTTTATGATCTGCTAGCAGTACTTACCTCTTGAATCTTTACAAGACATCAATTAACTGAAAAAAAATGTAGTTTGCTCATTCTATCATTACATTAAATGGGAAAAATGTCGTCAATATTAACTCATATGAGTTAGTAATTGTGACAATATTATTCATTGTAATATGTTTTTTTAACCTAAAGGTCACTGTGAAGTGTCAGAACCATTCTTTTCCAATAGTAACTACTGGATACTACCAGAAAATAATGACTTTTTAAGAGATACTGTCAAATGTGTAAGAGAGACAGGAATCTTAATTGCATTGCATCTGCAGGTAAAACTAATTAATGTACAAACTAAATGTCACTGTAAGCACACACAGTTCTATCTAACACTAGCAGTTCTCAGAAAACTATGCATGGTTTGCTTTTGAAATACTTAAGATTTCAAATTGACCTTTTGTTCCCATGTAGTTATTTTATTCCATTAAATGAATTTGCCTTCTCTACCAAAGCAAATTTTGAACTCGAGCTCTTCCTATAACACACACTGTTGTGTGCTGCTGTGTTAGACAGCACTGTGGGGATCCCAAGCACAAGAACATTCACAATAGTAACGTTAGCACGATGAACGGCAGGTTGCACAGTACATCATGCAATTGCAAATACAACGGCATATTCATATGTAAATTAGGATGCCATATCCTGCCTTTCATTTCAGTGTAAAAATATGGGCTTCAGAAATGGAGTCAGTGAAATGACCAGAGGAGGGCATGTCCTTCAAATAATCTGGATTAATGAATAGGTTAATGGCTGCATGCTGGATCTCATACTGTAAGGGGGGAGGGCCCTCTAAAAGCTTGAAAACTAAGGCTACTAGTTGTGACTGAATTCACTGCAGTCTTTTTTTTTCCTTGTACCTTTGCCATCACAGAATTCAGTCTGGGATTTGGTACATACTCCATGGTTTAAGTTAGAAAAACTTTTGCAAATAAGCAAATCAATGAGACTAAGCATTGATTATCCCCTAGAATGCCACACAATCTGACCTTTTCAAAATCTGCATGTGGGTTAATCTGGCAGTAAAAACAACCATGACTAAGAAGCACATTATGCATTTCCCACATACTGTTTTACATATTATACAAAAAATACTATTATTCAAATGGCAAAGGTAACAGGTAAGGGGGAACTGTGTGCACTTAAGCACATTAAAAATTTAAATGAATTCATGTCACACACTTGGAAAAGAAGAAAAGATACAGAAATATACAACATAGATCATTCTCAGGTTTTTGATTACAATTTGTTGTTTTTTCCTGCTGATATCAAGAAAATATTCCTATTTTCTCAGTTGCACTACTTATTTGACCTATGAGTCACACATTTTCACTTCATAGCTTACAAAATATTTTAAGCACCACTTTATACAATTATTATTTCTTAGCAGGGTTTTCCCCCTAAAAAATAGCAGTCAGCAGGTAGTGGAAAAGCAAATTCTAAAACAAAGATCCTGTTCCTGCTGTTAGAGCTGGTCAGGGAAAAGGATCTGGATCTAACATGAGCCTCGGTTAGATGTCAGAGTTGAGGTTTGAGTTTGCTGGGACTTTCCTGTTCCTCGTGCATATATTTCCCCTCTCTATTGCCCGCTGGCAGGTGGGTACAATCTTCTGCTTAGTCCCAACTCTCTACATATGGAGTGCCAAATCCCACGTGGGTTTGCAGATAGGTAGAGGGTGTTTCTTGGAGAATTGAATGCTTCACAGTGGGCAGGTTAGAGAGCTTTAAGACAAACCTGGACCTCAGCTTTCAAGGAAAAGTGAAACATAATAAACTACAGTGAGTGAGGGCAAAAACTTTTCTCATGACCTTAGCCACAATGAATTGTATATGTGTGTGGATTACAGGATTAAAATGTGCATCTTATCAGAGATTTGCTCTAAAGCAACAAGTTTCAGGAAAAATATTTCTATATATTTGGAAATGCACAAGTAAGACCTACTAGGTCTGGCTTTTCCAAGCTCCCAATTTTGTGCACTGATAACACAGAAATGTAATCTCTAGGGAAGACATGTAAGAAATTATTAACCCTTAGATTAACAAATTTCAAATCCACAAACTAGTCCTACTAGTAGAAAGTGACTTTGACCTTTGCTCGAAAAGTAACCAAAACTTATTAAAAATATTTCTCAAGGATGTAAAGATTTTGGAAAGGGTTTTTGCACAGTCCATCTATGCATGCTCTGAGCCTGCAGATACTACTGAGCCCAGATGAAGCCTTGTCAGCAGAAGGTCTGAGGTGAGAAAGCTTCATTTCTCCATCCCTCTGATAAGGAAAGGTGGCAAAATCTGATATAGGTCTCACACTTATTCGAGGGAAACTAATGAGTGTTCTAGGTTATAGCAGCATTAATGATCACACAGTTATCATTTCACTAGCCAGAAACTGTCGGAGCTCATGCTGCTAGTCATACTGTATCAGAAGGAAAAGAAAAGCAGTTTTATACTGCCTAGCAATAGCTCTGATCAAGGCTTTGTTTGGGCATATTTCTTAAGCAGACTTCTTCTGCAGGAATCTAGCTCACTATAGGGCATTTTTAAGCAAAAATCCCTACACATCATGCCATTAAAAAAAAAAAAAAAATCGAAGTTTCAGACCTAGTTTTTCTTTGTTAATTTAAAACCTAGTTTATTTAAACATGCAATCATTCATATAAATCTCCTTTTGGAAAAGCAGTTAGACATGTACTTAGATCCCACAGTTTTCAGCAAAGTAAAAACAATTGATTTGATAGATAAGCATGAGCTCAACTAAGTCAGAGCTTTTACACCTGCAAAAATAACACTGCTGAAACAGACTGAGAATATTTATTCTTGCTTGTTGTGCTCAGGGTACAGAGAAAGGACAAACAGCATCATTCTAAAGGCACTGCTGATATTCTTCCCCTCACCACAAAGCTAGTGTAAGATTTTTTTCCCTCTTTCCTTGCTGACACTTGTTCCTCTTCCTGCATTGAAGCTCACATCTATCTGATTTGGATCAAAGCAGTTCTTTGTGGGACCATGTAACAAACTGTGTTACTGAAAGAATCTAGGTTAAAAGATAGAATGCTTTCTTCTCTTGAAGGTTTAGTGGTCTAGTTTGCAGCAGAAACACATAAACAGCTGTTCTGCAGGATGGGGTGAAATTAACTGTGTATGTGTAAATGAATAGCTGGAGGAGGGAGCTTCTTGGAGCAATTCTCTGTCAGTGAAAACAATTCAGTGAACAGCACACTAAGTTCAAAATCCACAGTAGATTGAATTCAAAGCACTCCAGCATACTGGTTAAAGAGTGCATATTGGTTTTCTGTACTTACTGTGCCCCACCAGAGAGCATCTGCATATGTGGAGAATTGGTTATTTGCATCTTTTTCCACCAGATAAACCAGGAAAGATGAAAAGATGAGTACTAAAAATCCTATGTACCAGGCTGTGATTAATTCCTAGATAAAAGAAATCAGAGATCAATATCCATTTGAAAGACTGAACAGAATGGCATTTCAAGGAAGACATAATAAAAAGATCCACATATTTTTTTTGGTTTTTGAGCAGGTGAAAGTCAAATGCTTCCCTATAGATGCAAATTTTCTCTGAAAGCGGAATGAATCTAATCCTATGGTTTGACACTTCAGCAACTTCAGCAATATCAAGAACAATATTTCCAACACATTCTAAAAACTGTTAGTATTTAGAATGGTCTGATGTATCTGCACTAATGTCCATTACAATTGGTGTTACTTCAGAGAATTTTAGGTATTCTGCTCAAAACTGATGTTTGTTTCCTTGGCTTCTTGTTGAATCACATCAAGTGAAGATATCAAGCAGACAAAACCAGCATCTAGGATTACATACCTTGCTATGTGCATAAACTACTGAACCTAATAATTTCCAAGTGCCTCCTCTTCGGTCCATGCGCACCATACGAAGGATCTGTAGGAAACGAAGACTTCTCAGTGCTGATGTTGCAAAAATGTTACCCTGAGTTTTTGCAGAAACAACTGCTATTGAAGCGATGAGAACAATGATGTCTGAAAGAAATATATTACAGAAAACATTAATGTCTAAGTACCAATAAATAACACACACATATACACGAGCTGAATGAGAGGACAAAAGAGAGACTCCTGTGGTGGGTGAGAGTCCAAACTGCTCTTCCTGTTTGAGGCAAGGATGTGAGGTCAGGGCTGGTGTCAAATACTACCTCGAGAGCCTCCAGGGTGAAAACTGAAGGTAGTAGTTTTGAAAACATATGGGTAAGAGCAGCAGTGTTGAAGGAACCTCATGTAGGAGCTTTGAAGCCTGATGTAGCAAACTGTACAAATTAGTAGATGGATTAGAACTTTTTCCCTTTATATCTTTCTTATAGCAACTTTCCTATGGAAAGGCAAAAAGAAAACAAAGGTAAGAAAAACACAGAGCAGCCCCAGTGGTGAGAGTCCAGTGGAACTGGACTTAGAAGCACACATATAATTTTCCTACAAGTACAAACGCCGCATGGTTGAGCCATGTAGTTTCTGGACACAACTGCCCTGATGTACTGTAGGCTGCAAAAGAAGAAATACAGTGCTAGGTACTGAGAAGCATTCTTTTAGCTGGCAGCCTGGAAAGTTTGTTGAAGCCCAGCAAGTGTTAGGATTTATTTCTCCAGGTCACAGACTCAAACTGTGAGAGTGAGTTTGTTCTGCATGAGCTAATCAGCCAGCTGCCTCTAGAGCCGGAATGGCATTTAAAGGGAGATGAGGAGAAGCAGCACAGTGATGGCACATGGATGCTGTGAGAAGGCATAACATTCTTTTATGATGATTGGGGCAGACACACCGGTGTGCATGGAGTGGAAAAGCACAGAACAAGCTCTGTGTTACTTTACTACCTCATAATTAATTTCCTGACCTTCTTTAAAAGCTTAAAGAGCCTTTGTAAGAAACACTGGGTTTAAAACTTAGGATTTGGTGATGTTCACATGTCTCTGTGGAAGGATACTCTAAACCCATATTTGCCAGCGAAGAACTGAAATCAAGCTCTTGTTGACAGGAGTTTTACTTCTTTTTTGTTGGGTATGAATACTCATCTTGTCCCAGGCATAGATCCTACAAGTCAAGAATGACCCAGTAAGTGAAAAAGCCTCCACAGGTGAGCAGTGAGAGAGACTGGTTGTGCCTACAAGCAGGAGGCTGTTCCCTTAGTCTGCTCCAATGCAGTAGGAAATAGCCTTGGTTCATTCTGCTCAGCCACTGAAGTAAATTAATTCCAAATACCCTTGCCTGAAAACATCCTGGGTTTCTGTGAACTCACCTATGGATGATTTTGTCCTCTTACTACAGTACTAAGGGTACAGACAACCTGTGGTTTAAGGAGTGTCCTGTTAAATTGTGGAAATTCTTGTGACAAGATGCTAAAAGTTTAAATAGCTTCAAAGCCAGTGCAATGATCTCATGGGATAAGATTTAATCCAGGCTAATTTATACCAAGAGCCCACTTCTGGCTCAGGACATCTCCAAGGACCAGGCTGTTGGAGGCTGAGAAACTCTTAAGGAGAAATATAGCTATATGCTTGCTCTGCTTGTGTAACCTTCTCTGACTGTTCACCGTTGGCTACTGTCGCTGTCAGATGCAGTCTGTTAGGCTAGGCTGACCTCCTGCCCGTCTTATGCTCCACATTTTAAAATGCCTTTGGCTACTACATAGGTGGATTGTAGGTGGCTACTATATAACTGGCTACTAAAACAGCTGGATTTGCTTCTAGATGTAAATCCAACAAGTTCAGAGATCAAGGGGAGCCAGAAATGGATACAGTATCCTGGGGTGTCTCTGCACGGTACAAGTCTCATGAGCACAACAAGCACATGCAGGAGGTCTAGGTGAGAATTCAGAAACAGGACAACTAACCAGGAAAAGTTAAAGACATCACAAATTGTAACAGAGATCAGAAAAATAGCTGGGGTGTGATTCAGCTCCATGTGAAGACATTTAAATTTAGGTGCCTAGATTGAAGCAGGTGTCTGAACATCCCATGCAGCACAAGGAAATGATGTCAACTTAGAGAGGTGCACCTAATCCTCAGGAAGGCTCTTGCTGGCTGCTTAGCTGACTCACGTGCTGGGTTTAGTAAAAAAAGGTTCAATTCATCTGCCCAAATTTATTTGTCCAGTGCCATCTGAGACGTCTTGAGATATCAGAGACACCCTGTAGGTCTGGCAGCTATGCTCTCAGACCTGGGACAGCTGTGCCCTTCAGGAGAAGTTGCTGAGAGCAGGGAATATCATGTAACAGGGGACACCTCTATGCAATCCTCTGAACTAAGCCCTAGATCTTGACCTACTATACTGGAAGTACGAGACACGTAGCATACACATACCCACCTACAAGCAAATTTCTATATTTATCTGTGTGTATCTAGATCTAAGGCTCACACTGAGCATGCTGGAAGGACTTGAGAAATACAGACTCTGTTGAAGAGTGTCCCTGGTAACTAACATGATATCAAGGTTAGCTTGGCTTGTCCTGTGCTGCTCTGAGAAGAGCAGCAATCTAGCATCTATTTTTAATTAGTGGTGACTGGCTAGCAGCAAATCAGATCTCATTAGAAATGCAGTGTGCAGTCCTGCAAATCCTCCTTAGAACTTAAATACTATGAAATATGGATTTGGTCTGGAAATTATTAAGATGGGAGTTTTGGGTACCCTCAACCACTCTTAATAGAGTAGTTTTTTATAAAAGCCAATGATTTGCCCCTGCCCTTATTCCTGACCATTCCAGGAGCTGTGATAGCTTTCCTTATAACATACAGCTTCCTGGAGGTTGTCCACTGAAAAAAAAATCAAATTAATTCAGCACTGCACAGCATCTGTGCCACTGGAAATTCTCCGTACACTGACTGAGGGTCTCTGGTTCCCTCCGAGCACGTGAGAAAAAGAAGCCAACAGCAGCATAGATCTTTTTTTACCTCTTTAAAAGTACTGGTCCAAAAGAGAGATCTACTTGTGTATATCCTAGATGGAGGGTAGGGATGCAGGAAGGCAAAGGGAGGAGAGGAATGGGGGAGCAGAAGATGCATTGGCACATTTTTAAAACACAGTTGAAGGGAAGAGAACTTTCCCAGGCTGCTGGTGTGTTTTTCACACCTTGTTCTCTCATCTTCTTCACCTCTTCACAGAACAGCCCTCACCCCCAAAACCACTGCCCCAACTCCTCAGGCTGGGCACAGGGATTCACTGCCTAGGGCAGCCCTCCCTGGCTGTGTTTGACTTGGAAGCAGGGAAGGCAGGCAGGCACATTATTTCAGTGACTTGCCAGGAACAGGTGTAAGATAAATAAAAATAAACCCTTCTTGGAATAAATCGGAGTCTAACGAAAAGTTTGCAACAGTTGAAAGTCACTTCTAAATGTTAAACTTGCTTGGTTTTCTTATTTAAACATACCCTAGAAAAATGAAAAATTATGTACTTTATGATTCTCTGCCTTATAAATTTTTATCGAACATATCTCAGGTGCCATTTGCCCTCTTTTAAGCAAAACAGCAAAATGTTCTTCTGAACTTCCTTTCATGTTCCACTTGAATTTAGCTAGAATCTCCATGGTATTTCTGTATTTTAAGAAGGCTTTAGTGAAATTCGATCAATATTTTTCTCGTTATCTTTTAGTGGCAAAACTGAGAAATCGGGAAGAAGTAAATAGCAACATTTCAATTAATTTAATGGGGTCTCAAGTTTCACTCTGTATCTTGCTGTAAAGCAGCAGGAAAGTTAGGGATGTGAGAGTGAGTAATGGGCAATATAATCCCAAACTTCTCTATAATGAATTAATAGGAAACAGGAGTTTCTGATGCACATTAAACATCTCTTTAGCTATGATCCTGATATTATTCACTCTTCAGAAATATCTCTCATATTTTTAGCCTTGCAGATAGTGTCCTCCCTTATTAAGTCCAGTCTCAGATTTCAGATCTTCTCAGCAGTTTTTGCAGCGTTCAATTCTGAACACTTTGTTTCAGGTTAAACACCAAAAACTGAATTCTTCCACTTCAGACGTTTCACCTCGTACCTCTAAAGAAACCCAAGATGACATGAAAGTTTTGTTAACAGTAACACAGCAAAAGCTTTTTTAGTTGAAAACCACCATGTTAACAACTGAAGGCTCTTCTGAAAAATAAATATATTAACCCAGAACTCATGTGTGTAATAGATTATATTTGTCTATTGACCAATCTCACTAAAATAGTGACATATACGTACAGACAAGGAACTGAAGCATAGTATTGCAACAACCTGAAACTCGAATAGCTCATGAGAGGTGTGCCAGGCTGAGTTCCCCACTTCACAGAGGAAGGACAATGTTGAGCTGCCTTACCCTACTCAAGCTCAGTCAGAAACTCTGGCTAGCTTGGGTCACTGATGGAGCTGTGGTTAGCATTTCGAAACTGTAAACTCTTCTAATGGCAACTTTTTGACTAAGAGATTAATAATGATAAAAAAGAAGACATCAATAATCATCATAGACTGGCTTACTTCTAATGGTTTTTTCAATGTAACTTTCCTACTATGAACTTTTTTGATGTGCTATTAGGACGATCTCTAAAATGACAGAAAGATTGTTAGAATAATATTAAGAAATGTAACTAATGACAATCTCTCACATCCTCAAAGCTCACGTACGTGCTCAAACTAATACACAAACTTGCTTTATCTTTCTCTCTTTCATAGTTTTCAAAGTCTTAGTGTATAAAAAGTTGTTAGTGAGAGCTTTTCCTGTTGCCTACATTTAGTGCTCATGTGTTGGAACATCCTTTCCTCCTAAATAAAAATAACACTGAGCAAATACAGGTTAAAAGAATATGGTGATATTTTTTCTCTCTGAATTTATCTGAATAGAAAATGAACAATATTTAATCATTTTAGCTTCATCACTACACAATCAAAATAGTATTTTTCTATAAATTTATAGAAAATGCTCTAAGTTTACACATTCTTATCAAAAATATACAGAAAAGTGCAGTGGCTGTCCATTACAGTGTCTGCTCTGGGTACAGAAT